CTTGATAATTTTGATAAGGGTACTTCAAATTGGTTGACTGATAATGAAACCAAAAGATGTTCAAATGAAAATGTTTACATGAAAGATGATAAGAAAAGAGTTACGCATAAAATAATTTGGTAAATTTGTTTATAAATATTTCCTGTCCCTGGGAAATTTCATATGCGTAGATATTTCCATACCTTCTTATCGCCCTTTAAAATTATTCTAGTCGGGATATTTATTTTTAAGTATTTCGCAACAAGAGTTCCTCTGATAAATCTCAACCAATCTGCGTAAATAAATCCACAGATTAGAATTTAATTAAGATTTTCTCGAAATCGCAAAACAAGCACCGAAAATTATTTACAGTCGGCTTTTTGTCTTTGATGTGCAAAAAAAGGTCGCAGAACGGTGAAAATTTTTTATCGGATAAGTTCAAGATCTAATTCTTTATCAACAGTATTATAATTAGTTTACAGTTGGGACCAGGTCAACTCGATTAGCTGAATGAAATATTATTTGTTGTTGCGCAAGCAAACAAATACGGAGTAAATAAAGAAATAAAATGCGAGTTAAATAATGAGTGCCACATGAGAAGACAAATATTTTGCTATTATTTATTTTTATTCAACCATTTATTCTGCTGTTTGACACTTTAAGGTAGCTGCAAATGAGCTTGCACAGCTGCTCAGGTGCTCAGTGCTCAGTCAGACTAACTCACCTTTAAAAAAAATGTTCGAGCCCAAGAAAATCGTCTTAGTTGTGATCTGGAACAGTGATCATAAATTCGTATATATTTAAAAACTAAATACAAAGTAACGCTGAAATATTAAACACCGTTAAATAATATTTCTACAATATTTTTAGATACTTTTAATAGTACTTTAATATGATTAAATTCATTTGAAGGCGGAAGTTTTTAGCCAAGTCCTTTTGTTAAAGTTTCTTTTTCAAGTTTCCTTAAAAAAAAATACCTTTGCTTGCCACTTTTCCTAGAGTAAGAGAACATTTTCTAACTTAAATAATTTATAGTATAATTGGGTTAACCTAAGGTTTCTACTTTTTGTGAAACGAAAATAGTTTGTTATTTTAGCTAGTAAAAAAACTGGCATTTTAATACTAACACGAATACAAAAGCTTGTTTAATTAAGGTACATATAAGGGGCGAAAAGAAAAGTCGAATATAAAATGAAATTAACACTGATATTAGTGCTAGTTTTAAATTATAACTATTACTACAAAATTTGAATAAAATTCAAAACTTTGTTTTGCTATTTTTAATTTTTAGAACCACTAACGAAACATACGATGACGAGGAGTGTCCTCCTTTATTGAACACAAGCTTGCAGCAATCCCAACTTATCCAAAGATTAACCCATGTCTGCCGTTATGATCGGCTTGAGAGGCCATATGGTAGGATATTGATCTCGGAAAAAGCAAAGAACTCCACTTAAACGATTTTTCACTCCCTAGTTTACGACCCAGTGACGGCGAAAAAGCTGCCCATTGTGGTGAAAACGCGAATCTATGTGTACTTCCTGCAGAATCTCAATTCCGACCTGCTGCAGTTCAAGATGCACGCCCTCCTGCAGCTGCAGTTCCAGGACAAACGTCTGGCCTTCAAGGACTTTGTGGACCCACCAGCCGAAAATATCCTGGGCCAGAAGCACCTGAGCGAGCGCCTCTGGCTGCCGCACATCTTCTTCGCCAATGAACGAGAGTCCAGTATCCTGGGAACGGACGAGAAGGACGTCCTGACTTCGCTGTCGCCCGAGGGAAACGTGATTATCTCCACCCGCATGGAGGCAACCCTCTACTGCTGGATGAACTTCAAGAAGTTCCCCTTCGATCAGCAGTTCTGCTCCACAATCCTGGAGAGCTGTAAGTGACTCGATTGCCTTTCCGTTTTGATTTTGATTTTGGATGACACTTTCCGTTTTCGCCAGGGATGTACAACACCTCTGACTTGGTCCTGGAATGGGAACAGGTCAGACCCATCTCCTTCGATCCGGAAATGAGACTGACGGAGTACAACATGGCCAACTATTGGCACAACACCACTGTGGTCGAGTCGGATGGCTTCAATCTGCGCCATGGAGCTTTCAGTGAGCTAATAAAAGTGTGTTTGTTCAAGGACTTGTTCTAAATACTTGATACTCCACAGTGGGTAACTACAGTTCGCTGAGCTTTACTGTCAATCTGAAGCGTGAAATTGGCTTCTATCTGCTGGACTACTATGTGCCCTCTATGATGATCGTGGCCATCTCATGGGTGTCCTTTTGGCTGCAGGCGGATGCCTCTCCTCCGCGGATTATGCTGGGTAAGATAATTTGATTTTAACTCAAGTAACTTTCTTTTTTTTATATTTAAATAAAAATATATTTCCTTGCCAGGAACCAGCACCATGCTGTCGTTTATCACCCTGTCCTCGTCGCAGAGCAAGACCCTGCCCAAGGTGAGCTACATAAAGGTGTCGGAGGTGTGGTTCCTCGGCTGCACCTTCTTCATCTTCGGCAGCCTGGTGGAATTCGCCTTTGTCAACACGATCTGGCGCCGCAAAGAGAACATTGAGCTGAAGAAGGTCAACAGCAAGTACATCATCAAGTCCACTTTAACGCCGCGGCCTGCACGTCGTCAAATTGGCGGCAGCCTGAGCAACGATTCTAGGGCGAGATCCTGCTCCAGTTTGGACAACATTGTCTCAAGCACGGAGAGTGTTCGCAATGGAAATGGCAATATGAACCAGAGCTTCAACAACTACTTGACAGTTCATGTTAGTACTCCAGATATATCGCCCATCCAAGACATGTGTAGTAATCTTTTGTTTTTAACCCTAGCCCAATTTACCGATCATAAAGACCGAGTGCGCCGACACCGTGTCCATTTGCAGTGAGCGGACTACCAACGATCACATCGTGGACATGGACAAGGACAAAAAGGACACGCCGCCCACTTTCACCACAATGACTCCGCAGGAGATCGCAATGTGGATCGATCGGCGCTCCCGATTTCTTTTCCCCGCGATGTTCCTGGCCTTCAACGCCTTGTACTGGACCTTCGTCTATGTTTTGTGAGCGACACTGGTTGCCTTTTATGTGAAATCTTGTCTATTTGTGTAGTCCTGCTCACGCAAATAATTGTTGAATTGTAAGATGCATCATCTCATAGCTGTACAAATGTTAATCAATAATAAAGCAATATTACCAGATACAAAATCGAAAAAAATATATATACGTAATTTGATGACTATGTTTAACCAAGTGATAAAATCGTATTTATAAAATAATTCTTGTAACGCAATAAAATGTATGCAATTAAAAAATTCAAATTTGTTCTTAAATAGTAAAAATAGTAGCCATTGGTTTTACATTTTCGTGTGTCATTTTGGGAATATATCATTTTACCTTATAAATATTGCTCTCTTCAACGAAATTTGAACGTTTTCTTAATAACCATTTGCTGTTACTGATACGGTGAATTTTACTGAACATCAAGGCAACGGCTGAGTTCAATTAAAACACACTAATTTTAAAATATAAAATTAATCACATTCCACAGATTGATTTTGTACGACACAGGACACACTTTCAAAATTCAAACTCCGATTACAAGTCATTAATCAACAATCGTAAAAATCGGCTTAAGTCTATGCTAAAAGTCTACCAAGTTATTATTCACGGTGCTGGTCTGCACTAAGCTGGTATCCAGGTTAACCACCTATTTTATGTGGCATATTTAGGGTATTATTTAAAAAATAAAGCCTACCGTTGTGGCATATTCAAGCGGTCCGTCCACGGTCACACTGGTTGAGACGAGTCAAGAGGAATTTGCAGCGTAAAAGTCGAATTTCAAGGTAAAATTTGGCATCATAATTCGTGCAACGACAGGTGCTGGCTCTAAAAATATGCACAATTATGGGCTGCCAAAAGTGCAGTGATCGCCCACAGCGTCAGACGTACTCGGCCGCCTTTTTCCGCGGAGCAGTGCGAAAATTACATAACCTCCGGGGGTTGCTGCACCAGTGCCATAAGCCACAATGTTTATAATAACGATCTGCGTCTTCATCCAAATCCTGGTCCACTTCCTGTGCAGTTGCTAATCTGGTGGTTTTCTCCTCCGTAGCCCCTGAACCATGCGTCTGTCCTCGATCCTGAATGGCCAGCACTTTGGCAACTTGGCCAAGGTGCACGGCATCGTCACCTACAAACTGTCGCCCTTTGAGCAGCGCGCCTTCGCCGGAGCGATCAGCAAGGGTCTGCCCAATATGGTGCGTCGTTTCCGCTCCAACGTCTTCATCGTTACCCCACGTAAGTGCCCCCAGCAATGTATAATCCCGAGTACTCGCTGATAATCCAATTTCCACCCTTTACAGCCTTCATCCTGGGCTACCTGATCTACGATCTGACCGAGCGCCAGCACACCGCCCTGATGCGCAAGAACCCCGCTGACTATGCGAACGACGAATAATCGCCCCAACTAGCAAATAGTTATGTTAAACTAATTAATAAAACTAAACCCACAGTTCAAGAGAGTTGTGTGTTTCGGTTGCTGGAAGGCTAATCCACGAAAACTTTGTGTTCAGGAGGTCTTGAGGTTAAAGCAAGCTAAATCAATTTAATTGTAAACATTGTTAAACATTTTAAAGAACTACTTGTGTTTTTTTTGAGAAGTCAGCCGTATGCGTTAATTGGTTTAAGTCCAAGATTACATTCTCTACAAGCTCTCCAACCTAAAGTTTTATCAAAGTTAACCACCTAAAGATATAGTCATACCTAATTATGGGTGATTCCTGTTCGATCGGCATTTCTATAATCTTGCAGAAGGTTTTATATATGCAGTTAGAAGTTTTTAAGGCAGTACAAAATTATATTATAAATTGCTGTTAATCAGCTGGGCTTATTAACAAACAGAAAAATGCTCCTGAAATAATAATGTGTTGGCGCCAACATTTTCCATATTCATTTTGATGCCAATTTTGTTAAAAGAGTCGCAGGACACAGTTGGGACATACACATATATGCAATTAAAATTTTTATTTATTTTTAAAGAGGTGGATATCATCTATTTTTTATAATTTTTCTTATTGGCATTGTTCCTAACACAAGATAGGGCGTGTGCCAGGGCCTTCTCCGCCGGCTGCTGGTCCTCCAACGAACTTATGCTGTCTGTTGACAAAGAATAATATAATCAGTTAAAATATCTGCAATATTTTCCACAAATAAACATACCGATTAAAACTGAAAAGAATTCCGGAAATGTTTTCAACGCCTTCTTTCCGTTGACACCATCTATATTGTATTCGCATAGCAGTTGCTCTGTCAACACACTTTGAATTGCCTTTGGCAGATTATTGCGCTCCAACAAAGTAGTTATGGCTTGAATCTGAAAGAAAAGATCAGAGTCAATTGCACGCCCATCTTGAATATGAGTATAATGACTTACATAGTCTCCTTTAGACCCTAAACTTATCTTTAGATCTAAATCTAGGAGATCCTCATCGCTAGAGACCGGGAACGCCACATCGACAGCTACTTTTTTTTTCTTTCCCTTGTGAAAAAATTGTAACAAGGCCGCTAGCTTTGACACCTGATGGGTGCTTTCTGCCAACTGCCTTGTATTGGCTTCAAGTGTTTTTGTGTTGGCCTCCAGCTTCTTCTCCAAAGCCTGGACCCTCTTCGTCAGCTCACCCACCTGATCGTTGGGTGGGGATCCTTGGGTCAGGTCGAAATGGAATTCCGGTTTTGCGAAGGCTTCCATCAAAAATTCGTCTTCTAATAAATAAAATATATATTAATATACAACTTCAATCAATTTGATTTTATTCGGTTTTATTACGTTTGACAGCAACTGATGTGCTAGGACCTGCTACTAGATCTACGTCCTCGCATTCTATTTCATTGGGCCTTGCTAGACCACATCGCTTCAATAAATTCTTCCTTTCTTTCGCCGCTAATTTATTTATATGTTTAGTGCCAACCATTTTGTATCTTTAATAGTTTTAGTTTGCACTTTTGATTAGCGTATTTAATTCTATTGTTTTATATCTTAAATGTTGTATTTATTAGGAAAGTACAAATCTGATTCCATTGGCGCCTTTAGCAAAATCATAAGCTACTTCGACATGTGAATGGCAGAAAAAGCTGATTTGGTATTGTTTACATTTGGGTTGTCGCAATTCCAAACGAAATGAAATCCGTTTGAATCATAACCGAAGATTCGTAAACATTTTAGTATGAGAACAATAGCGGAGTCATCTACCTGCTTAGAGTTGCCAGATGTTCGGGGAGGAGAAATCAACGATATATGTGTATGATTGAAGAAAGATAGTTCCACCTCTAGCACCCCGACCAGCTGTTCGCAAACAAAACAATTAGAATAAATCTATATAGTTTTTAACCAATATTAGTTACTTGATGGACTGCTGCGGCAACGAAGTGCGCAGCGAAAGCATCTACAACATGCTGCAGGCTTTGGTCGATTCGAAGGTGGTCAACGTGCAGCTTTTATCCATTGCCGTGGGCATTTTCTTCGTGGTCCTGCTGCTAAAAAACAATTTTCGCTGCTTTTCGGGCACGTAGATTGATGATTTATAGTGTTTAATTAATGCAATAATAATAATGTAATGTACGCTAAGGACTAATAATAATAACTACATCAAGCCACCTTGAATCTTGTTTCAGTTCTATGTTTTTTGGAGCACCCCTCGAGGCAGTGACGTCACGCGCAATACCTATGTACATATATGTGTAATATTTTGGGTACTAGTACTTGTACGTTTCAGTTTCAGGGTCGTCGGTTTGTTTCGGTGGTGTTTGTGTTTGTTTGCACAACAATACGCCCAACGCATTATAATTGTTTTCGAAGGCCAGTTGAACTGGTCTGACCGCCCCCCAAAAACTCCCATGGAACATGCTAAAAATCCAGACCAAAATTGGCTAATTTCATCATTAGACGAATGTGATTCATGGCAGAAGGTCTTGCGATAAGATTGCTTATTCAAATACTCCAAATGTGCTCCAGTGCTTCGGAGGCGGCTTTGTCACTCAAGAAGAGCTGAACTTTTGGCCCACTTGCCGGAGGCGAAGCCATATCCAATCAATCGCAATTGCTATCCACAAACGATTTCAATTGACCGGCGACTGATTGCCCAATGTCTGCACGCACTTCCTGGTGCAGCATTAGAATTCAAAAGACGCCCGACTTCAGGCGGCTTCATTCTGCAATCCCGTATTGACTCATTGCCCAGTGGTCGCAGTATTAATGCTATTTGACGGTACGTGCTCTTATGCTGAAATATTGCATTAGAACATCCAGTAAACGTGACTTGCTTATAGGGCTAGCTCTAACTATTCAAATTATAACTCATCCATTGGCTAGTCTTGATCATGGGTTAAATAAGATATACGAAATATGGTAGGGCTACAAAAACTGCCAGTCCTAATCCTATCCAATATTCCTTATTAAATTCGCATATACCTATGTATGTCAGGGTATCGATTTCAAACTTTTTATTCGTTTTTGTACCTAATTTTTGTAAGACTCTTGTTCAAATGGTAAATACAGTATGTAAACAAAATTATTCGGTAATGAAATTCAGTACAATAAAAGAGATATATTTTAAAGACTATGAAAAAGACTATTCTAAGACTATGAAAAACCAACTCAGAAGCTCAAAGGTCATGAAACTGATTACCCTCCCCACATTTAGTCATTGTTTATTTTTAAATTCATAACGCCATCAGGTTTGCCCCCTTCAATAGCAATTGCTTAGCACACAAAAACATTCAAAATAAACTAATCCATTAAACCAGATCAATAACCCGATTCTTCAAGACTGCTGAATGGATAATTTACAAGCTTGTCAATGAACTTGTAAAGCGGGAAGTTCTGGGAACTCCGCCGCCCATCGAATTCATGCTGACTGAAGTTCCGTTTGGTGCATTTACCCATTGAATTTTTATATACAAACATAAAATATATACATATTTTGTTGTGCTACAAAGGTATTCTATTACAAAAGAATTTTTCTTCCAAGGTGCGCCAAACTAAAATTTTGATTGTGGATCATTGATTTGATCCTTGGTTAGATGGCTTACTCGGCGGTATGAAGATCCTGGCTAGGGTTATTCAGCTTTTTTTTCAGCGCCGCGGACAGATAGACAAAGCTGGTGGGCTTCTTGAAAACTGGTGAACGTTTAGGAGCCGTCAAGTTGGCGTCTTTTTGGTCCTCCCTGGGTCCTCCATGGGTCCTTCTGCGGTGGCCTTTGCTTGGGTTTCCGCCACCCTTGATACGCTCGCTCTCCTCCAACTGCCTCCGAAGATCCCCAACAATGGCCATCATCTCCTTGTGCTGGGCCTCGTACTTGGAGATGATCGAATTGCGGCGGTCCAACTTGGCGTTCAGGAAGCCCAGCTGCTTTTTTAGGCGATCCACCTCGCCAGCCTGTTCGGCAATGGACTTCACCTCTTGGCGCACTCGTTTCAGCTCCTTTTCGACCAGGTCGGCGTTCTGGCGGACATCGCTCATCCGCTCTTGGTACTTGGTGCGCGTGTTGTTGATCTGCTCCTCGAGGAAGGCAATGTACCGCTCCTGCTTGACCACGTGCCCGTCCAGCTTCTCCAGCCGCTCGTTCAGCAGGGAACACTGCTCGGCTCCGCCGCACTCCCGCTCATCCCGATCGCACCGCATGGCGGCCAGTTCGTTCTGCAGCACCTGGATCTCCTGCTCCAGACGCGCCTGCAGCGCCACCTGCTCCTGGCGAGCCCTTCGCCGCTGTTCCTGCTTGGAACGCAACGAGGCCACCTCGCAGCGGAGGAGGGTCACCTCGTGCTCCAGCCGGGCCTTGGCCCGATCGTGGTGCGGCATCGATTTTGGTACAATTTAGCAACTCTATTTACCGGACAGGTAAGCCGTCGAATTTTGGCAGTCCAGACAGCAAATAAATATCAAACACATCCCAAAACACACAGTTTGGTGGGGCTGTGTTTTGACGGTTCGTCACTGGGGTTGTGATTTTGAAAGGTTTCGATGAGGGGACTGCGTCTTTTAAAAAAAACTAATAGTTTGATAAAGTCGAACTTTCATAAGTTAAACTTTTTAAGGGAAATAACTGCCAACCAAATATCGAAAAAAAAACAATTCTTTGATATTGTTTTGACTTAAGAACATATTAATAATTGCTAGCTTATTGAAAAAGTTTTGAGAAGAAATATTAACAGAAATCAAAAACTACAACTACATTTTTTACCAAATTAAATGTTTGTATTAAAAATTATTTGGATGACAACATCTAAATATCTACACACCCACCAAAATAAATGTATTTTATACAAAAGAAAATCGTAAGCCATTTAATTGGTTCACCTTGTTTTCTAAATTCCGCTTAAGATTTTAAATGGGTATTTTATTGATATAAACAAAGCACTCTTAGAAGAACTAATGGAAAGATAGGCTACACACAAGAATACAATTCACAACATATTCCTGTAGGTGCTTATATTTTCATTAGTGCTTCTGGCCGGGTGCGAGTTGAGATACTTGATCAGCAGATGGTTGGCCACGGACTGCGGCTTTATATTAATGCCGCAATTAGCCAAATTCTCCACCGCACCGCACATGTCCTGGTAGTGGTGGCCGATCCGCCTTGCCCGATCCCGATGGTGGACACTGGCCAGGACTTTCTGCAGATGGGACTCCAGCATGATGGCATTGTTCTTGATGGTGGACACCTGGCACTCATAGTGGGCCTTTATTCGACGCAGTTCCCGCTGCTGTTTCTCGATGCGTCGAGCCTGCATCAGGATTATATCGGCGAGGGCCTGGCGATCGGTGTGATGCTTCTCGGCCTTATAATCCCGCTGCATCAACGCACCGAAATCCTCTTCAGACTTGTGGCCACTCCTGTACCTCAAACTTGTGGAGCTCACATACTGGTTGGATACTTGTGTTGACTGCAATGGCTGTCTTAATGACTTGGAATGTGGTTTTTGCCTCTTTTGACGAGTATGAATTATCTCTGGAGATTGCTGATTTTCATTCTGCATCCTAGGGATTCCACCATTTGAGATCCTTACGCCCCTGGTCATTCCAGATAATAATTTTCTTACTTTTGGACTTACTTTTGCCTAATTACGTGTAATTTTGTCACTTATTTAATTGATTTAAAAATGATCGCAAACTTCGTTTAAGGAAGATAAGATTACTTACTAAAATAATAATGTAAATCTTGAATGTATACTATCCTTGAAAAAGAGTTAAAGGTTTGTTATTTTTATAAAATCATTCTGCATAAAAACATATGAATCTTCTACTCCATACCCTTTTACATACATACTCTTTTCAAAAAAGCAAAAACTCACTAACCGTTTTAAAAACAAGTGTATTTTTTCAGGTTGAAAGTGAAAATCAACCACGCTTACCACCAACTAATTTCAGTTATTTCAAACTAATAAAAATTTGCGAGCTGGTACGAATAAGAAAAAATGACTGCAATTTGATAAACTCAGGTTCAAGGTGGGCTAAGTTTCTGTAAAAGTTTGTGAGTGTTTTTTTCCGGCTGTAAGGGTAATACCAGACACGCCCACTACGCCTTCGAAAACTGGAGGCAATAATCGAAGCACGCAAACTGAGACTTTAAGCACACATATTATTATTTAAACATATTTGCACTTTTTATTCCCTATTAGTTTATTAAAAATATTTTCAAAAGTTTTTTAAATCAAAAACTATATGCTTTTCTTTTTAGCAGACCCGTAACAAAAACGTTCATATAATAAAAACTCTATCGAAAGTTAAATTACCTTTCATATTTCAACAACTGGAATTTGGGTAAAGAGTATTGCAAAATCGGTTACCTTTTATGTGACTTTGTTGTGTGTTGTGTGTTTTGTGTTTGTTTCTTTTTGTTTTTTGTAAAGCATAATTTGTATTTTTCGGCTTCGCGATGCCGCACACTTGATAAGGGTTATCGATCTGCCCATGGATATGCATTATGTGCGGTTGATCATTATTTGTTTTCTTGCCCACTGCCTGTGCGTCGTTCTCGCAAGTTGTAATTCATTTGGCAGCGCTTTGTGATATGTGATTTTTGGTTTATGCCATGCATATGGAATCCCATTAAGATTGTGGGCCCAGGAAGCGGACTTTAGGGTGTGGAAGATGGATGTTGCCCTCGAAAAAGAAAATATATTAACATCCTGAATACTCATAATTCGAAATACCTCCGTGTCCCATAATTCAAGCTACTTCCACGCTTCCTCGCTTCATTTTGTGCAGAGTCCTTCAACACAATGGCAGGGTCTGGTCTCTTATGTCACCATCACTTGCCTTCGGTTTTCTATGGCTCTTGGTGTGCGCGTATATTTCTTAATATGACAAAGTTGTTCCCACTTATGCAATTTCCATAAACTCAAGGTCAGCCGTACAATAAAAGTCCAGACAGCAGATACTATACTATATATACCCACTAACACATGCAGCCAGACGTCTGGCTACTTTTTTCGGCAGCCAAAAGATTGAGATCAAGAGTGGCGGAGAGGAGACGAATGATGCCTCAACTTCCAAGCGAATATTTGTCAGAGATGCGCGAAAATCTCTAGGCCAAATCTACAATTAAATTAAAAAATAAAAGAAAATAAATAAGACAAAAGAAAATTACTAATCTAGACACTTTTACATTCTTAAATTTCGATTTAAACGAACTTAAAAATATAGCTATACATTAAATGTATTGATTTAATCTTAATTTTTATAAAGACGCACAACATAATATAGCTTGTAAGGTTTTCATTTTACTTTTCCTACATAGTTTAAATAAAAAAATCATTACCTATTATTATTATTCTAAGATCTGTAATAAATTAGCTAAAAATTTATTGTTCGCATACTTGATTTATTTATTTACTTACAAGCTACCCATTGTCAGCTCTATAAATTCCGCTTATTATATAAACAGAATACACAAACCCACTCCTCGTTCCCTTCGCACATGCCGAAAAATGATATCAAAATGCGAAATCAAAACAAAGACCCAGAATTTCGGCAGACTAACCCAAGCAACCAAAAAAAAAAAGGTCAGAACTTGACTAACATCTAACCCAAACACAAAGGGACCACAAAAGGCAGACAGGGAGCAGACGGGAGAACCCCAAGTTCAAAACAGAAGCCCAAGGCAAGGGTTCTTAAAGCCCCTCAGAAGCGTAGACTTCAGCTAGACGAAATTTGAGATACTCAAAGGACGATGAGAAGGCAATCGAAGGCTGGGGATTGAGATACTGTCAAGTGCTTTTGAAAGTGCTTTTGAAGACCAGACAGAAATTGCTGGTTTCGCTTGAATTGTTCTATCAATTTCAGTTAAATTGCATTTAATTTGAATTGCAGACATAAAAATCAGGTTTTGTTTATTTCATTTTTCGATTCTGCAGCTTGATTTAATTTGTTTGCTAGACGGCGAAAGTGCGAAGGAGATACGTATTGCGCAATTAAGTCACCCTGAGAGCAAAAATCAAATGCAACTGGAAAGTCAAATAAAAGTGAATTGATTTATGGGGTTTTTGTTTGTTTGTGAAACTGTAATGTTTAATATTTTATGCCTAATATATAGTATTTCACTCACATAAATCAAAGATGAAAGATTTTTATCGACTTAAAATGTTGTTTTACTGTCGTAGAGCTAAAATAGTGTTTCCTTAGATAAGTTTCGCTGGTATTTATATATAACAAGTTCAAGATATTAATCGTTCCAAACTAACCATTGCATTTTCATATTATTTACAAAACAAGGGTTTGTCTGAAGTTTTTGGCACAGCTTTTCCGCCCGTCATTGCCAGCACACCTCGATCAAGCACTTGCGCATAAATCTGCAGAGCAATCAGCATAAAGCTACAGCTTTAGACAAGAATCAAAACATATGAATTATGCAAAAGGGCCGGCAGTTCGGTCAGAAATTTGTTTTGCAAATTCTGCGGGATTTTGGCGACAAATTTCAATTAACAATCGAGCACAGACATCCGTTCTGCGTCAGGCTAAGTGCAAATCGCCGATGTATCAACTATAAGGAAAGATATCGTGAGATATCAGAGATACGAGTCTCAAGAGCCATAACTCACTAAAGTCGGGCTCCGATTTCCGACAAGGGAACTCCAGCTCCTGCCCATTCCCCAAAATTTGACTCTGAGTTATTAAAAACTGCACACAAGAAATGAGTAAGGGAAACAAACACAAAGTTTGTTATGTTGCGCAGGCGCAGCCCAGCAACGCCCTCGAAATTGCGACTCAGATTCGGACTCGAAGCTGGAGCTGGAGCTGGAGTTGGGGATGGGGATGGAGATGGAGATGGAGGTAAGCTTGGAGGCCGGAGGAGACATCCCAACAATGTTATTGACCCGTCTCAACGATCCGTTAGCAATCCTCCACCCGAGTGCTCCGTCCTGCCGCACAAATTCTTATTAAGATCAATCAGCTAAATGTCGGTTTTATGCTTAATGCTCATGATTCACACGGGCAGAAAAGTCCAGGAATCGAAAATGCATATGGCAGCAGGAATACGAATTTTATCTTCTGATAACACACTAGAAAATACACTAATTACTAATTTTTAGTGGGAACTTTCTCAAACACTACTTTCCAAAACACTACTGCATACTTTTAGGAAACTTAAATTATCTACAGATTTCGTTCAATTCTCCGAATATTAAATTCAAAATGTATTTCCAATGTTCTTTATTAAAGACTACAAAAATTGCTATATAACATGATACATAACTGGAAAACATGATACATTAACATCAGTTTTGGTTTATAGTTTTTAGGTTTCAAAATAGATATTTTCAGATATTAAGAGGTTTCGCAAAAACCCTAAATGGGAAAAAAAACTTATGTAATTTTGAATGCTACGAGCTTCACGTGTAAGTTCAGTTACCCCTCCAAGTTGAATTCAACTCCCCAAAGCATGTGCCTACATCGTATATGGGAATATAAATAAAAATGTGCATTTTTGGCAGCCTTTACAAAGTTGTCGGCACGTTTTAATGCTGAGAGTTTGAACAGTTTTTTTTGCCTTCTCTTCTTATTTTTGTTGGTTACTTAATTAGTCATGGCAGGCACTCATGAAGTGGGCGAAACGCATGAGCGTGAGGCATAAACACTCTCCGCAAGGAATTCAAACTGTATTCAATCACGGCGAAGCTACTGAGTCGTTTCAGATCTTATACAATGGCTTTGCCTCCCCCCCAGAGTTTCTTATCACAATTGACACACATTGAAAGCCAGCAATGCGTTATGACCGCTTCAAGCTTTAACAACCCATCAGCGTGCTTCCTGCCTCAACTCAAGATTAGGCGAAGCGTAATCCCTCACTTCAAACTCCCATCAGGAAATGAAAACATTTTTTATAAAAGATTACAACTACTACTGGGTACTTTTTTAATATTAGAGATAATACTCAATATATTTCAAATGCGAACCATTGTTCAAGAAGGATCAAATTTCTGTAGGCATGTTCAGTTGGTTTACCACCAAATATAACGATTTTGGATTTCATTTAATTGCATCCGCCTTCGGTTTCCTTATATATGTGAATTCTACATAAAAGCAATGAGCATTTCGACAGCGTTCTTTTAAATTCACAAAAAATAAGCTGTAAAAAAGTAATTTATATAAAATAAGTTTTACTCAAAGTTATTTAAAAAAGTTTATATAAGATCTGCAAGTTTTTTAAACATTTGTACGACCACAATAAAATAAATTAAATTAAATTATTTGCCTTATGGGAAATGGAAGTTCGTTTTAGAAGAGTTTGACTGTATATACTATACGAACGTGCATGTTTATTCGATCTGACAACGGTTAGCGATAAGCCCAGCGATGAAGTCAATACAACAAACAATAACGAACATTTTTGGAATTTCGTCTCCGACTTTGTCATTATTTGCTTGCCATTTGTTTACAGGCTGAAACATCAACACACACTGCATCAGCTGCTCGGCTCACTTCCACTGCCACTTCCTCCGTACCCCCATCCAGAAACCCCCATCCAGAAAACCCCTTCTATAGCCGTACCCCCACACCCATGGGTTCATCTGTGGGTTATCAGCGGCGGAGTGCAACTAGAATTGGTTGCAAAAAGCGAGCTACGAAAAAGGGAAAACAACACTCAGTCGGCGAGAAAAGCAACCGCAAAAGTTCAATGCACATTTCGAGGTGAATTTGTTTTTGAGCGCTCGCTCGTCCGATTTCTGATGTCTGCAATTAATTACACAAATCGAACGAGAGCGTGTTTAACTTGTTTTCGAGTCTAACATGTCACGTAATTAACCGTCTAGCTGCGAATCGAGGCAATATCGATTGGAGTTTGCCAAAAGAATATCCAATAGATACGGGCTTGCCAGCGTCTGTTGCACTCAATTTGCTTGATTATTGCAAATAGACTGTGCATGAGCGCAAGTATCTGACAGTTTGCCTATCTGACCGACTACTAGACGACCTTGCGCCCAATATGCAATTGATATGCACTGTGCAGATATGAATATTAATAGACGACCCGAAAGTTACTTATAAAATTTCGCAAGCAAAATTCCATTACCACTTGAAATGTAGAACATTGAACGCTTCTCAAAATTGTTGTTAATTATTAAATCTGCTTTGTAAGTTGGCTGTTCTACAATTACACTAATGCATAATCTAAAAGATAACCCTTTAATCGCAAAAATTTCCTAGTAAACACAAAGCTGATTGAAAATATTGTAATACAAAAAATTTTAAAATGGCAATTATATTAAAATAAATATTTCGGTTCTATGGCCTTGTTCTTTAAAACTTAGGCTCCTTTTAAAATGTCCTTACGGATAAAATAAACTCGTAAAGAGCAATAGCTGTAACGAATGACAATCAATCAATCAATCCAGTTACAGACTGACAATACCACCCACTCTTGTTTACTTTTTCTTACGAGGCATATTCAGTGGTTTCCGCAGAGGGTTTTTATGACATAGAGGTTTTTATGACATATTTTACATTAATAGTGGATAATAAACTGTGCCAGAGCATATGACTTCAAAAAAATATCCCATGCCTATGTTATAAAAATATTTTATATAAAAAATCTTATACTTAGCTCCAGTTTCTGAACACTCAGAGGGCCAATATCGAGCAACAATGTTAAATGCTCTTTACCTTTCTTAGATCGTTTATCGAACGACCCAATAACGGTCCAGGGGGGTCGCTTGACCTCTTTGATCCTCTATTTTGATAAAAGAGCCCACGCCACTGATAACAGCGAGAGCATTTGAGCTAACAGAGCCCTAACATCTTTGGCGTCCTAACAGAGCCCCAACAGCCCCAAACAGATGCGCTGTCGACGTCGACTGCGGCTGCGGCAGAGGCAGCAGCTGCGGCTGCGGCTGTTGGCGATGAAAAAGTTTCGGCTGTTTTCAGTCCGTTTTGCGTATCGTACTCGAATTGTGACCGTGTGCGGACTGTTCCGACGGGCAGCGTGTGCGTGTGAGTGCGAGTCGGCGGGTGTATGTGTGTGTGGGGGGGCGAGAGAGATAATATGTACATTTTGTGTTTTTATTTATATGGGAATATGCGTACATGCCAGCTTAAATAAATACACATGTGTATACGTTATATTTTCTATACCCTGCGAACGAGTACAACAACAATGTGGGTCGTGCATATTGAGCGTATGCAAATAACAACAGATAAATGCCAAAAATCTACTACATTTTTATAACCAAAACACACAGAGCGCGTGAGAGTGCGAGAGTGGGAGAGAGCGGCGATAAAGAGAGGCCACCCCCACAGCGAAGAGAGCGAAAGAGAGCGGCATTTAGAAGTATCTTCAAGATACACCTATACCAATAGAGCTGTATCTGTATCTGTATCTGTATCTTCTTGCCTGCGTTTTTCGTCGTATAAATTGAGCCGCACTTTGCCTATTCTCGAGTTTTTGCCGCTCAGACGTCGCTGTAAGTGCACGCGTCGCTCGTCTTTTTCGGTTCCGTTCCGAATCGGTTTCAATTTCGGTTTCCAATACCTCCGATTCCCACACACTCGAATGGAAAATATCTAAAAAAGATTCTTGTGCTTAAGAACCCAGTTAAAAAAATTATACTATGAAAATATATAATAAATTTTTATGTGATTAACAGGAACAACATTTTTCTTAATTTGTAAGATCTAAAAACACAGTTTAACAGGAAAACTCAGTATATAACTGAATAAATGTTTAATTATTAGAACTGCACAATTGTGCCCAAAAAAAAATTCTATGCATTTTAAAAAAACTGTTTGAGATTTCCTAAAGTTGTAAGAGAGCCCTTTAGTTGAGTTTAAATTAAAAAAAAAAACAAAACATAGTTGATTACAAATAAAGTGTCAAATCCATTTCCAGTGAGTGCTCGTAAAATTGTTTTATTGAAACCCAGCCGCAAATACAATTTTTTATTGGCTTTGTGCGTGTTCTCAACGCATACAAATACAAATACATACAAATTTAGCATTTAATTTTGTCAATTATGTGTGCAATTAAATAAAAAAATTCTGTGTGTGAAAAGGCAATAAAATTACAGTGCGGGGAACAGAGGCAGCTCCAAATTAGACGCGTAAATTGCGTAGCAAATTCTGAATGAAAAAAAATCAACAGAACCAGAAAGCGAAACAGAAACTATAAGCGTAAGTACATCTTTAATAAATAATTTGACTTATATGTGTATCTACAAAAAATTAAATTTTCAGTGATAATACATAGAATAAATTTTATAAAATATCAAGTTCTTCAAAAGAATCGTTTAAAAATGAATAAAAGCTCTTAAATGCAGTTTTTTAAATTTATAAATATTTTGTTGTCAAAATAATGATGCAAATACAAATATCATTCCATTCCATTCTTTGTGATTCAAATTCTTTACCAAATAATATGCAAAGTTAAAAATGTTAAAGTCTACAAAATACAATTGTTTGTTAAAATATAACATTTTATAATTTAATTTTGTGGCGAAATAAAATATCGAAAAAAAACGATCAATGCCAAACAAACATGCATTCCCCTGAATTAAAACAAAGTCAAGGGAAGAACCTGATTTTGTTTCTTTTCATTTAATTGGGCTAAAGAAATTTCCCTTTTCAATGCTGCCACAAAAGAAATGAAAAGAAAGAAACATTCTCTGATTGATGTGAGGAAAAACAAAAACAGAAACCCGAAAAAGATTTTTGGAAATTTCATAGAGAGGGGCAGACGATGTCTAAGCATTTATCTTTCCGTTCTCCAACGCCGTTCTTGTTATTTTTTTTCTGAGGCGAGCTATTCAGGCGCCAGAGAAAGTGAAACATGTAATTTTTTGTTGAACGGCCTACAAAATTCATACGAAGTATTGAGTGAAATCGTAATGGGTTAAGAAATTTCTTAAATACAAAGGTTAAAAGGGGGCAGAGCAATCAGAAAGCGCACAATACACACTGGGAAATAATGATAAGACGCGAGGAGAAAAAGCCAACCAAAGAATACGAAATACACTCCACTTCTCTGTGTTTTTTTCTGGCTCCTCTTTCCCTGGGTAATTACATGCCGTAAAACCAAAATAAATACGCACAGATAAAGATGCACAGATGCAGATACAGATACCAGGGGTTGGGTTGGGTTGGGTTGGGTTTTTTCCTGCATTCTTTTTTGTCCTCGCAAAACGAAAGCCGAAAATCAGCGAAATGCATTAAAATCGAACCAAAGCAAAAACGAAAACAGTCAATAAACACTGTTTAATCAAATGTAAATGTTTATACCTCAACGATCGGTTCAGAATATCCGAGTTTCACTTTTGTACCTCAATCATAAGAGTGTTTGTTCTGGCCAGAAACCAGAAAGAAACACTCTTTTCCGTCTGACCCACATCGAGTTCGTTATCACCGATTTTTATTATCCATTTATATATATTCGGTTGATCGCATTGAATGAGTACACATTTACAGAACAATTTATTTTCGGAATGCAAAATTAAACACATAAAATGATGTTAATAAAACGCAGAAAACCATCTGAAAGTAACAGAGATAATACTTTAAGTGTTTTAATGTTATTTGCATTTTTAATTGTGATGTTAAGGACCATAAAATTCTTTTAAATATATCTACACAATTTTATTAATATTTGTTTCAAGTAAAAATTTTTTTGTGAACTGGTGTTTATAGAGAAAGTGGATACAGTTTTTAAATTGTTAAACTTTTCATGTCTTTAGGTAACTTTAAAGGTTAGTTATATGTTTACATTACGGGTTCTAAGCCTAAAAAAATCCTCAATAAAACTGATGAGATTGTTTCAAAATTTTTGTTTTACCAAATCATGTAATTTCCTTGTTGGTTTTCCAGGTTTTGATATGTTGCTCTAGAATAAAATTACATATTTCAAAACTAATGATTTTTTAAATAAGAAAAGAACAAAAATTTGAGATAAAAATATAAATATATTCTTACCTTATAAGGTGTCTTCCATAAACAACGTTTTTGTCTGCCTCGCCATTCCTATATTTTTCAAAGGTTTCTTTTCAACTCGATCGCCGACGCCGCCGCCAATAAATGATCAATGGCCCAGAGCATTTCGATTTCAGCCAAAGTCGTTTAATTTGTTTTTTGATTCCGCTCTTTTTTGCCAAGCGTCCTAAGTCCAGAAAAATAAAGCACGGCAGCAACAGGCAAAGAACTACAAAATTCACCTGTAATAACGTCGCAGAAAAATGAAGAAATCGGATGAGAAGTGGCAGACAAAAACAAGAATCGAGTAGAACCGAGAGCAACAACAAGAGGAGAATAAGAAAAAGTAGGGGGAACCGAGAGAACGAACCCGAAATCAGAAAACCAGATTTACTACTAATTTAAATTCTTGGCATACAGAATATTTAAAAAAATAACACAAAAAATCAATAAAAAACAACAAATCTTGTGTATTGATTAACGAATCGAAGCGAAAAGTTTTTTATTTACCAAATATTGACATACAGTTCCACATACTATAGATGGTATACCCCACTTCCGTTTCCTCTGAACTCTTCTCGTAGCTGATGGATTGACATTTCATTTATCTGTACATTCACTAAAAGGCCTTTAGTCACCGTTCACACAAAGGAAATTTTCAAGAAGTTTAGTCATTTCGTATCGATTTTTTACTGGCTCAATATTCCTTTATTCGTTCGCTAGAGCACGTGTAAAGTTGTACACAAAAAAAGTCTTATTCACAAGTCCAAGTTGATAATTTTATATGGCGTTGTATGTATTTGGCATTATGTTAATCAACTGGAGAAACAAATTCGTACAGGCAAATCGTCATTAATTATGCATTTATTTAAGCGTCTCAGGCCGCTGGCTGTGACCACATTTGATATGAAAACCTCGATTCGCAATTCGAGAAACTGAAAGTTGGCCTAAAAACACAGTTAGGAATTGCCCCTGGCCGTGCATTGTCGTTGGGCTGGGTTTGGGGTCGTGCTTACCGGCTTTTATTTTACATTTACATTTTGAATATATTTTAAACAAATTTAGCACATATGCTCCAGGATGTTAAAAACTTAAAAAGATACGAAAAAATCTGTCTTTCACCAAATCTAGAATTAAGAAAAGCTTCTTGAATAAACATAAATAAATATATGGTATTGAAAAATGTAAGCTTAAAGCAAATATTTAAAAAAATAATGTATGATATATTCTGATAGATAGTATTCTGAAATTTAATCTAGAGTATGAGGAATATATTTTCAAGCGCAAAGTTTGTCTTTAAAATCATTTGCTTGACACTCCCTAGACCACTCGAAAAGCCCCAATTCCCCATGCCAATCATGAATATATGAGATAAATTCCCACATTCTCCAGCGACACGCCCTCTCTTTTGGACAGACAGACAAAAGCCCCACTTGAGATATTTGTATTTGTATATCGAGGGAACTGGATGGCAACAGTTTGAGAACGATTAACGAACCAGAAGTCGCACTTGACTTGCTCAAAGCCGGGATGACATACAAAAGAGCCATTCAAGACCGGCCTAGAAGATGGCAGATGAGCTGCCCATGGAATGGAGCGGCCAAGAGGAAGACGAATCATGATCATCAGCGACAATTACCGCACTGTAACTACGCAGCATCCGCAACAACAGCAATACTATATATTGTAAGCGAGCTGCGTGCAGAACTGAGCAAAAAACAGAGCCTCATAGATACACAAGATGCGCGTCTCCACTTGGACCCCATATTTTCCTGTACTCCTCCACTTCTCTACTCATCTGGAAGCTTGTTTTGCTTGCTGCTCGCTGCGACGCGTCTTTAGCAAGTGATTTCAATTTAATTGACAGTCCTTGAACTTGACTTAAACGCAACGCATAACACAAACAACAATAACAATAAAAACACCACAAGCAACAGCATCTCTTCACTCTCGATTCGCCATTCTCCGAAGTATAAAGTCTTTCCTCTTTATGGGGTCTTTCGTTTTTAGATTTCATTGGATTGATATTATTGTATCATGAAACAATATCGAATTTTAGCAATTAAAACTTTTATAGATTTTAAATGATAAAGTACCTAAATGGATAATTAAAGTAATATTAAACCATCCTTAAGGTTAGGAAAGACAAGAAAATTAGTTAAAAGAAAAACAAGACATATTTTATATGCAAAAATAATAAAACTGGTTTAATCTTTAGTTTTATTAATCAAAACAACTTTAGTGCTCTTAAATGAGTAAGCTTACATGTAAACCGGTTTAATTTTGTAAATATCAAACATATTTTTAGTAACCACTTGGCCGACACAAAATATTATAAATGTGTTATAAATGTGTTAGTATTACTATGAAAGCCATAGTTCTAATTATAAATAGTATAGCAGTAAAGAAAGCTATTTTTAAACAAAGCTATAATTATAAAAACGCTTCAGACAAAACACTATTTATAAGCAAAGCCCATTAATTTGAATTTTAAACGAGCCTATTAATGTCAAACCTATTAATACCTTAAATGAATAATACTTAAAAAAGAATTAATAACATATTATACATTACGTTTATTGTTTTAAGAATAATTTTAATAATATTTTAAAATAGCGTTTTCATGATTTGGAAATGATTAAAAAGTTGTATCGTAATATCTCTCCTTAGAAATTTGTGGAGTTCTACCATCCGAATAGGGACTTTAAAGTTCGCTATAGTAAATTAACATATCTTTTCACTTATTCATTTTAATCTGCATTTTCCTCCATCCTTTGTTGACAATGTTGAAGAGCAGAAACCACACAAAAAGGGGCTGCCGCAAAAAGTTGCCCATTTGCGATTTCAGCACACAGTATTTTACTGCTCTTCTCGTCGTCATATTTTTTGGCAAATAAATCTTTTTAAAACAACAAGCGAAACACCGACACATACAGAAACCGGCGGATATACAATATATAAATATAAATGTATACACGCATTTGGCTATATAAAATCATCGCTGCATATATATAATTTATTTTGAAAGCGTGCGTACGCCACGCATTTCGTGCCGTCTGTCTTTTTGGGCCTAGACAAATGGCTGTCCACAGGGCAAACACACTGATATATACCATATAGACTTTCATTCAATGAATTTTGATATTTTTCGGCTTAATTGTTTTTCTAGCCGAGCGGCCTCCGCCGAATTCTCGGGGAGATCTATAAAAATGTACAATTATGACTCGGCAACTTCTCAGATATCGACACGTGTCTCTGAAGTTTTGTATCTGTTTTTCTCTGCTTCTTTTCTCCCCGTTTCGGTTTCTACTTCACATTGTGTATACGCCCCGTGGGCTTCGTGTAAGTCAGCGAGATAAATAGCCACAGGTGACAAAAGATGTAAATGCACAACTTGATATTCAATAGATAAGGCCACAGTCCAGTAAAGTAAATGAAATGAAATGAAATTAAATGAAATGAAATGAAAGAAACATGGAGCCGCAGAAGCGAGGTGTACCCATCATGCAAAAACTTTCACCCGCAAGTGATCTATGGGCCGAAAGAAAGACTTTCGCATTGAGAGCGCTTGCGAGCGGTACGCACATCTAATTACCGCACTCGAAAATGTGATTAGAAATCAGTTCTCGTCTCCGAAAAGAATGAAGAGAGTGCTGCGGCACTCGGCAGAAATTGTGATACTATGTACTTTCACAACCATTCGAATTCAAGTTCATGGCAAGGTTTGCAAGGGTTTCGCTCGCGAGATTAGGCATTCATTTATTCCCCGATGCCGGTACTCGGTTTTCGGGTATTTGGGTATTCGGGTTCTAATCAGCGACGCTGCGTTGATAACTAAAACGAAAAGCGCGTCCGATCAACAGAGTCTTTAATGAATCGTGCGTGGATCGCACGCACCGCACAAGAAAACTAAATTTTGATTTCTTCGTTTCTGTGTCAACGAACTCATTTGAACTAAATTCTCTTTTATAATTTTTCGTTTTTTTGTCTATGATTTCTTGTGTTTTTATTGAAAGCTTTCGGGCCCACCGGTGCGTGTGCGTGTGCGTGTGTCGTTGTTATCTCAAAAAGTCCGTTGCGTAGGCCGATTTGAATGCGTTTAGAAAAGAAAAGTTATGGCAGAGCGCGCCCCTCGTTCGACCTGATTAGAAACGCGTCGATATCACTCCTAATCAGCTGGGAATTAACATATATTGATAGATTTTAACATAACTATGGAGACTGCTTAGAGGGATAGAACTTAGAAGTGGAGAGCTTAGAGGAGATAGTTCCCAAGATAAAAGTAATAATTCGTGTAATTTTAATTTTCTAAAATAATAATTATTATACAAAGAGAATGAACTTAAAACCCCTTTAAACTAAATACCTAGCATTCATATTAATTACTTGTAGATATCTATATTATTGATTCTTCCTTTATTTAATCAACAATAACTTCTGAGTCATTTTAATCCTTATGTTGCTTATTTAAAATTGTGTTTGCATAGAAATAAATGAACTTTCTTTCAAGGAAGAAACTATAAGTAACTACTATGCATACAACTCCATTCCTGAGTAATTATTCTTTTCAAAGTGATGTGGTTTTTAAATCTGCGAACCATATATGTATAATTGGATTAGAGTTTAGTTAAGAGACATTTCTGTGTGATGTTCATTCAAGGCGTTGATAATAATCCCCGATTGGGATGAACCTTTCAAAAAAACCACCGTGCCAAGCTGATAAGACACAATGTGAGGCCAAGTAGAAGTCCCCGCTTAGGTGAATCCCATCGGGCTGTGCTATGCTCCTATAAAAACGCGAACAACTCTTAGCCCTGCATCAGTTTTATTCAACCGATTAACCAGCAAAGATGTCCTCCAACAAGTGCGGAATTGTGCTCCTCATCGCCTGCTGTCTGATGTCTCTGGTGACGGCCTATCCCCAGCCATATCCTGAGGAATCCCAGTTGGCGGAACAGGAGGAGCTCCTCGAGGCGGGTCCTTTGGTCCGGCGAGTTCGATCGCCCGAGGGTGGGTCCGTGGTCATCACCGCCAGCAAGGACAACCAAGTGGGCCGGGAGGCCAGTATTCAGTACAACCACAATCTGTTCTCAAGCCGCGATGGGCGTGGCACCATCGACGCCTACGCCCAGGCCAGCCGCAATTTCGACTTCAATCGCAACGACTACGGCGGCGGCATTCGGGGCACCTGGCATTTCTGAGCAAGAACACTAGTATTAAATTGGTTACAAAATGATTCACGTGAATAAATAAAAGTGTTTACCCAAGCAAACTGCTCACCGCGACTCTTGTTGTTTTCCCATTAGCGACCGATCCTCCTCCAAAGATCCACCGATCTGTGCGCCTGGCCAAAACAAACAGTAGCCGATGCATTGGCTATTTACTCAAAAGTAACTCAACTGAAAAGACACAACAAAAGGGAGCAGAAATGAGGGAAATATTAAGAAACCAACGAACAAATTATCAGAACGAATTACGACATACTCTTTAAAAGCTTTTAGAAATTTAAAAATTTCTTTATTTTCGAGACAATTTTTTTTATCGAAAATAAAGTAAGTAAATATAAATATTGAAATCTCGAACGCCGAAAGTTTTAAGATTGCACACATTGACTTATTAATAATCACTTGTTGATAATTTTTTTTCGGGATTTTAATGATTTACATATATATATAATTCGATGATTTATTTAAGTATGTGTTTTTTAAATTAGTCCTTAACAACATTAGAAATTGTTACTTTGAAATCCCTATAAATTTTATATGAAGTATACTCTTACTCTTAGAAAATGTTTTTAGGGCGGTTAACAATGTATATAATGTACAATTCCCAAAAAATGTATCTTTCGTTGCCAGTTAGCCGGATAATTTGGACATGCTCCTTATGAAGTGTATGTCGAGAAGTACTAAAAGTCATGAGTCGTCGCCGGGGTCATTGGACTTTTCCTTTGCTGCTGGCGTCGTCGTTGTGTAACCAATAAAAATTGATTCTGTTGCGTGTGTGCAGCGGGAAAGAGGGCGGGGCAGGAAGGGGCGGCGAATTACGCACACTGCAACACACTCACACTCACACTCGCATACAAATACGAAAGTCTGTTAATGCAATTGGGGGTTGCTGCATTTATCGCTCGGTTTCTTGGGGAATTCTCATGGGCAGTCGCACCACATCTATATGTATGTTCCTCTCCCGGTATTTGGGTGTGTACTTATGTTTATCTGAGTGTGGGGCATGACTAAGGGTAATTACTTTCGCTTTCCGTTTGCTCAGCTGGCAAATCAATAAAAACGGTCGACTCAAGTCAAGAATACGTTAAATGCTTGACCCCCTTGCACATTTTTCGGGAAAGCCACTGCCGCTGCCGCTGCCGCCGCCGCTGAGAAAACAATGCAAAACAAATGGCAAAGGCGTCGTTAATGAAATGCCACGAAAAAGGAAAAGCAATGCCTGGAAAATGACTTTCCATTTTCATTTAACAATAAGCAATCAATTGCAAGTTCATGGCACAGCTAACGATCTATTAGAAGAAAGTAAAAACAAGTAACGAAACCCATGCGAGGCAGAAACAAAAGACGAAAACCGACGAAAAGCGACGCCTACACAGGTAGGCCAGGTGAGTTAAGTTGAGTTGAGTCCAGGTGAGTTTCCAGGTGAGTGCAGCTGTCAGCTGTTGCTGTTGCTCTTGCTGATGTTGCTGTTGTTGCTGGTGTTGCTATTGCTGTTGCTTGCAGTGCAAGCGGGATGCAGTTGCTGTTGCAGCCTCAGCCTCTCGACTGGTTTTCATTTTGGCTTGGAAAAACCACACATTGGCATTGCCCCGTTGCCATTTTTAGTGGCAAAAACTGACTGCATCATAATGAAAGTGAAATGCATTGCGCAGATGGCGATGGCGATGGCAGTTACCAGATGCAACACCGCCTGGCAAGTAAGTCAAGTGCAGCAGTGCAGCAGCAACTGCAACTGCAGCAGCAGCCGAAGTTGTTGCAACATGAAGTGCCGACTGAAACGCGGAGCGGATTGGATCGTCTTGCTATCGCGGCGGATTGGAATGTGCGCGCGTCACCGACATCTCCATCTCCATCACCATTTCCATTTCCATCGACAACTGAATTCGGCACTATTGAGTTAATTGGCTAAATGCGAAAAGCGCTAAGCAAAACACACACTTTGCATGCACCACAAAACAAATTGAATGAATTAAAAAAAGCACATTTCAAGAGAAATTCTTTAATTAATTTTTTAAGAAAATTCTTAAATGCATTTTAAGAGATTTAAAAGATCAATAATTAAATTTAGCAATTATGACGGTTAAGCCCCGGATTCCTTTATTGGTTTCTTTATTTAAGAAATTATTTTTAATTTATTGCGGCACAATTTATGTATATTATTTCTATTTAACACATAATTTTGTTAGTACCTCACAGAAAATATTATTCTGTAATAATTGCTATTATGTTTTTGGATTGATAGTAGGGCTACTTAAACATAAATTTATGTAGCGAAACATATAAATTTCTTGTGTCTGTGTACCGATGTTTTTTTCGGTGTATGCTCTGGATAAATTATGTCAACAGCATGTACAGCAACTAAAGGCGAGGAGGCATGTACACGTACCGAACCCGCACAATACAATGCACAATGTACACGAGTACAAGTACATGCCTCCATGTATAGCCAGTGTTCAATGTCAGATCGGCGCCGAAGGTCGTTGTCGGATGCAGCGAACGCGGGTTTCATCTGGTTTCTTCGCTCGGATGTTTATCTGCATCGCCAGCATGCATTTGTATCAGTATCTGTGTCTGCATCTGCAACTGCAACTGCATCTGCATCTAAACCTCGTGCCAGTGTGTGAGTGGAGTTCTGGACCAGTGTAATTGATTCCAATAGCATGGAAAACTTGACATTGAGACAAGCATTTCGCATTCGGACCCCGGTAACTTGCCATTAAACACGCATTCTTATAACAAGGCAACTAGAAATACTGCACATCAGGGATAAAGATTGCAGACTCACTGAAAGTCTTTAAATTTTTTGAAACTGATATAGCATCAATGTACAATATTTATTAAGGGCCAAAATCAAGAATTTCAAACTTTTTGTTTGTTTAGGTATTTAAGAATATTATATATAATTTTCTTCGGAAAAGTAAAATTCCTATAGCTCCAAGAAAAACAAATGGATACAGTCTTTGATCGCAGGGTAAGTCAGAAATCTCTTAAAGTCTTAAAAAAATAAATATATACATAAACCCCAAAATAATTTTATAATTTAATGACTAACCTTTCGTGGAGTCAGTTTCTCTGGCATATTTTAGGCGCATGCTCGACTCAATCAAGTCACAATAAATTAACCTCTATTTGTAAGCCAAGTGAATAATGCGAATAGCTAACAAACAGACAGCTGAACACAATGCAACATCAATTCACTTTTTTTTTGGTCACATTTCACTGATTTTGAAAGTGAACGCTGTGTGGCAGGCGGCGGCGGCAACTGGCGGAATCACGATTTTGTGGGCAGCACCAATCTCACCATCTCCCCCAGTTGTACAGTGGACACGAAGTACAGTGAATAGGTGCTAGTAATTTAAACTTGCCTTTAAATAAATTAAGAAGATAATAAAGCCTGGACACCTTTTTAAAACATAGTGATTTACATGATTAGATTTATCTGTAAATTTGCGATATGTTTGAGGTCTGCATAAAAGGATACATTTCTATGATAAGTGAACTATTAACTAAATAAAAAATGCATAATGAAAATGACAGTTATCTTTTGCTATGGGCTCTACAATGGAGATTCCTGCTGGAAATGTTGCTGCTGTTTTTATTGGCAACTGCGTGGGTGAAATCCAGCAGACATAAATTTGGCGTCGTGTAGCTGCCGTTTTTACTTTTCCAGTGCGAGCAAATGAAGCGAAACGTGGGTTACACTTTTTTCCATTTGCCTCTGCTTTTATTTATTTTATTTCTGTTTTTGTATTTTTTTTTTGTTTGCTATTTTTTTGGGCTGCATCTACAGCTGCATATCTTTTTGAGTTACATATTTGTAACGTCTGCGGCCGGATAGACAACGAGGTGGATGTGGATGTGAATGTGGCTGAATGGAGCTGCGTAGGCCGCTCTGCATCAGGTTGACCCAGTTTTCGCTTTCTGTCTCCGTTTTGGCTTGGGTTTTTGTGATTTTTTTGTGGAAATTATACGATTTGCAGCCCCGCTGCAGACTTGTTCCATGTTTGTCCGTTAATTTATGGCACTCGTTGCAGCTCAATCAATTTAGCACACATTCGTCCCGATCCAATCCGCGCGACAGGGCACTTATTCAATTAAGCGCCACGTAACTTTGCCAGTACAAAGCGAATGTTCTCAGATTCCTACTAAACTAGTTTTGCATCCACTATCCTACTCTTGTTACATTGCGAATTTTGCACATTTATTATACACCCAGAGAAAAATCCCGAAGTAAAATGAGATTTAAAATATTTGAATTTAACATTATTATTCAAATTATAAACTTACTTAGAATAAACTATGTGAATTATTAACATATTTAATTGGTTTATCCAATAGGAGATTGAAGATTTCAACACACACTTGGAAATATTTAATTCCAAGTGAAAATATTTGCATTTACTATGATTTTTCTCTGGGTGTAATAAAACTGATGCGACAATGTCGAATGGTTATCTCAGAGGGACGTTGGAAAGTGCAGTGCTTTTGATTATATTTATTATGACTATTAACTTATCATACAAATAGGCGTATGCGCGATAAATTTTCACATATAAACAATGCGCCATGTGTAACAAGGCATTGTAAGGTAGTAGCTCTTGATACTATAAACAAACAACTACGAAATAGTAAATAATAGTATTGTTCAAAAACCATTTGTTGAATCATTTGTATTGATATATTTTTTAAGTAAATACTTGAAATATAGAAAAGCTCATTTAATTATAATAAGTATAATAAGTATATTGGCGCAGTTTTAAGTTATTAAAAATTGTAATCTCTTTGACTGTGTGCAACTTTTACCAATTTTCTTTTAAGCTATTCTATTTGTGGACCCGTGATTCACTTTTAGACACACCCAACTTAGAAAGGACATAAACGCCCCCTGGATCAACAAATGAACACCCCCCAAACGGCTCGCCCATTTGGTAATATTTGCCTTTTGGCCATAAACAAAAGGAGTAGAGTAGCTAACTGCATCAGACGAAATACAAATTGGAATTGGCCATTGCAATGTTGGCCACATGCCTCTGGCACACACACAAACACACAAACGGAGAGGGGCAAATAAGCACCCATACTTATAGGCGGACAAGTCAATGCACTTTTCACAAACACACGTACAGGGGGGAAAACAAGAGAGGAAGAGCGAGAGAGCGACCGTTAGTCGGCTGGCAGTGTGCGTGCCTAGATTTTGCAATAATTTCGTTTTCATTTCGAATTTGAGTTTCGTTTTCATTTTGCTTCCAAAGCATTTGCCCTATTGCTATGCAAGTACGATTGTTTTCAAATTCACTTTCACTAATTATGTCACCATATAACCAAAGGCCGCTCCCATTGTAAAGGGTTTCTCTGATTTTGACCCATTCCTTTAATTGCCTGTCTAGACGAAGGAAAGACCCGTTTTTCGTCTACTGCGCAATAATTTGTGTATTGTCTGTATTCCTAGGGCTTACCTCCCACCCTTTTTTCTATAAAGAGCTTTTCTTGGGTTTTGCCAAAAAATAAAGCTTTTTGGGGTGGCGTTCTCGTTTGATTGGGTGGATATACCGCCTCAGACATTTAAATTTCGTTGTCCTAGGTCGGGAAGATGTGGAAAACAGTGAATGTAATTGAGAGCGATGGAAGAGAAACGAGATGTGCCGGCTCAAAATGTTAGTTGGCAGATGTTATAATCATTGATGTTATTAAAATTTGGCAAAAGGGTTTCAGGCTTTTTCGTCAAAGCTAAGTATAATTTCTTTAATCCGTATCTCGGTTATAATAAAATATTTTAAATATTTTTCAAGTCATGATATTAACATGAAATTGCTATTAAAAATAACAGCAACACAATTCTTACATTTTATGTCAGTAAACTATCAATATTGTTGTTCCTGACTATCTTAAATTCAAAGAAATTCCACTTCTAAAATTATTTTGAACACAATATTAAAACTTTATACTTAAAGTGATGTTTTATTAAATCTACTACTATTTCCGCTGAAAAGTGCAGCAGAAAGTGCAAGTAAACGAAGAGATTTCCGCCTCTCTTTTTCTGTGGGATGCACTTCCTCTCTTCCTCGAAGAGCTTTATGCAGCCCGCTCTCAGTCTCTCGCCAAATTATTGAAATTGCACAAAGAAAAGTGAATCGAGAGAGCGGCTATGCGATTGTGTAAGTTTTACATGGACATTCGACAAAAGAAACTTGTTTTACTTTTTACGGCCTGCCCTGCAATTTGCGTCTTGCCGTTGGCAGGGATTACAATTGTAAAAAATACCACCCCTAGGTGCGTAATTAGAGCAGTTATCAAACATACACATAAAGCTTCGATTGCAGAAGAGAGTACGCTGCATTCGGTTGTCGGTGTGAGTGTGGTGTGTGACTGACCTATCTCAATGCAATTTTGCTTGCCCGCTGCACATACACATACCCACACTGAGACACACCGACAGACCATTGTGCTCATATATCTTTTATTTTTATACAATTTTTTTTTGCTGTTGCCGAGGCGTCGGCAACTATTTTTGCAGCAGACAAGATTTGCATTTTACATTTATTGTACACTTTGCCCCCATTTAATGGGTTTTCTTGACGCTCGTGGTTTCGCTCATTTTAATAAACAATAATGTTCGTTGCATTTTTTTCACACGCATTGCAGCCGCTCAAAATTGTTGTTAATCGGTCTGGCTGTAATTGTTATTACCCAACTGAACGGCATGCGCATTAATATACGTACTTTTAATTGTAGCTGATTGTTTATGGGTAAAATTTTATGACAAAATTTGATGGGCATTAAATTTTAGAAATACTTGAGAGCTATAACAATATCTTTCGGAAGCAACCAATAAACCAAAAGACAAAGAGAAAATGTTAAGCAATAATTTCAAAAACAAAAAAATTATTTAACTGTTTAATACAAAAAAAAAAAAATAGTAATAAAATGTAAATAGCTTTAAATAAATAGTTTTAAGAATTTATCGCAACTTTTTACACCAAATCTTACCTCACTCTTGCCTTTTTTATACTTTCAGTTACCAACCACAGAAACTCAAGCAAAACAAAAAAGTAAGTTAACAAAAAAACGCTCTCAAAGTTCTTTATAAGTAAACAAATAATTTAAAATGGAACGCCATAAAAAAGCCGGGCGCCAAAAGAGTTAAGAAAGAAACTTCCAAAAATGCCAAGTGGAAATTTACAAACGCCAAAAAGGTGAATAAATAATAAATTACAAACACGCACTCAGTGAAAATTATGCAGGGATTTTTTGTTCGTTAAACAATTGAAATGATTTTTTTTTGGGAGAGCTTTGAGAGGCAAAAAAAAGCCTGCTAAGTACTTTGATAAACAAATACTCATGAGTAATGAGTACCAAAAGCAGGCCTTCTTGGTTTCGCATCTATGCGAATTGCTATGGTTCTATCTTTCTATCTATGCCTCTATTCTTTTTTTTTTCGTCGGGGAGCCACTTGACACTTCGAGTGAACTAACTCCAATAGCCAAAACACTTGAGAAGACTATTGAATGGCTATTCGTCATTTGCTTGATATGTATTATGCAAATGAGCCAAACTTTCTGCGCATGACGAAGCTGTGCCGCATAATTGGTCGCTAATTGAAAAAATCAATTCAGAACCCACAATAAACTATGCTAAATTAGCCGATCTCGAAGAGGAGAAGCATCGTCTGAAGACAGAGAACAATTTATAAAAGTTCAATTAGCCCCATAACGGTACCACTCGGTCCGCAGAGCAGTTAAGGCAAGTTAACACCTCATCCGAATTGGCTGCTCGATGGTCCACAAGTTACAGTTTTGGCCACCAAAAGCCGCTTAAATCAGCGGCTCAATCAATCAGACAGAGGGTTCTGTTCTGTTTTAAATTAAGAATTTTTTTGTACTTTTGAAACAAGCTTTCTTTTCTCCGCCTTGTCCCCACAGTGGGTAGGAACTGATACAAAAATGGAATAAACTTCAATGATCACTTTGTTTATTTAACACGTAAATATAAAAACCACTTTTTAAAATTAAATGAAATTAAACAATAACGTAACTTCAAATAAGTAGTTAAGTAGTTTGTAGTTAAATGCGTCACTAATTTATCGGTACTTGTAGGTTATTTTAAGGTTAGTTTTTTTATTTAATGGCTCTAATGGATAGTTTAAATTAGAGAAAGCTAGAGGGACAAAAATACAATACAATAATAAGTAAAGTAAAATATTCGATATGCGCACTTTTAAATAATTTTGTTTCACTGTCAGCGCGAAATGACAAATGTAAACTGTTTTTTGCCAAAGCAAAAAGCAATCCACTCGCATTTATTCAGTACCTGCATATATGCATTCCTATAAAGGGGATATCCAATCCAGAAGGGAAACAAATGTCTTTTTTTCGGCTGCATCGAGAACGTCACGTCAGCGCCATGTACTGATCTTCACGCGAGATATTCGGGGGACTTGGAGGATTGACCACGGCTACCAGGTAACACTGGCTGGACTCCAAGTCCAACCCGGACTTAATGCAGTCCTCTTGAAATGCCTTTTTGATTGCATTTCATTAAGTTTTTGTTTTCTCTTTATTTTAAATTTGTTTCGGCTTGGACTTTTGCGGGCATTTTAAAAATTTATGCACACTTGGCTGCCATTTTAAGCTTGTTAATTTTTCTTCAATTTTTTTTTTTCGTTTCGTTTTTTGATTTGCTTTGGTGTTTCGTACCTTTCTCAGATTTTTAACAAGCGCCGTCAAAAAGGAAGTTTTGATTTTTTCGCCATGTTAATGCGCGCAGAAAGAAAAGAAACTGCAGTCCAAAAAAATGTAATATATACGTATTCCATGCAAGTGAATAAATTTACTCAGCTTTTTTATTGGCTGAGCAATAGCTAAATAATATTAAATAATATGGCATGGAAATTGAAATTTATCTTTTATTGCTTCTCCTAAATAAAAACTAGCTTCTGAAAAAGGTTTTAAAAAATTTTAGTTTATCCATTTATCTACGTAATATAATTTTCAGTAAGAGCATTGTTCAGCCACATTTCTCATGTGTTCCAATTTTAACAGTTGCTTAAAATGTTTTAAGAATTTTTTGTCATTGTTTTTCGGTTAAAAAGCCACACCCGATTTCTTGCCATGAATCATGTACCCCATATTGTACTTATATGTACCAAACTCAGACGTTTTACATGGTTGTTCCAGTTTAAAACACCAAAAAGCACAAGCTTAAATATCCGTACATATGTGGGAGTTTTATTGTATCTTGATCGCATTGAAATATAATTTTTATAATCCGAGACTTGCAGCTTAAAAAGTTTTATGTGTTTTTTAATTTGATCCGGAGCTGTTACAAATTTATGGAACCTTTTATAATAGGATTTAGGAAATTACAAATAAAATAAAAGTAAAACTTAGTCATGCCTGTTCATGCCCCAAAAAATGGAATAATTTAAGCACTTTGAAGTGCGAATTAGGTTTAAAAATTAAAGCATACATATAAAAAAAGGTATATTTAAGTGAGCAGTTACGTGTTTATATTATAATCGTTTGTCATAGCCAAGTTTTTTGTTTTTGTCTGTCCAACAGTTTGTTTACACATTTCGAGCTTCAAGTTCGAATTTCAGTTCTCAATGTGAAGGTCAAAGTCAAAACCCAATAAATGGACGTATCTGATTGGTCAGCGAATTGGAGACTGTAGGGAAATAAGCCCAGAAAATGACTCAATGTCTGGGGCGAATATGAACAAACAAATAGATGTCTTGAATTTGAAACTTTGTAAAAAAGTAAACATAGCTTCAGAAATTAATAAGCAATCTTTCTTGCATTTTGTTGGTGAAAAAAAAGATTCCACCGATTGCACAGGTTCTAAATCGTTTCTATGCTAAAAGTGAAATGTGGAAAAACCACTTTTCCGAGCTCTTTCCAGCAGGTCTTAACTGCAGGTTCGACTTCAACTTGGACTTGCAACTGACATCGCCATCGCCATCGGCATCTGTTGCTGGTCGAGTGTGCAATTTACTTTCAATGCCGCCTAGCCATTGTTGGGGCTTTCTTCTGCGGCTTTTGCACTTGTTTGTTGCCATGTTGCTGCTGCAGTGCGACGATGTTGCTGTTGCTGTTGCTGTTGCTGCTGCTGTCAGCGTCTAGTCAGCACGTTGCCCGCGTGTCTGGTTTTGTTGCATGTTGGCATGCAGCGGCAACAGCAGCAACAGCAACATCGGCCACTGAGCTGCTTGGTATGCAATTTGCAATAGTTGCGCTTGCGCAATTCAAATGCACACCCATACTCTGCCAGAAGCACACGTATATACATACATAACTCAGTTACGTAGTAGGAAAACCGAAGACCAAAGACGGAAGAGGGAAGACGTGTTGCAAGTGGCCAGGAAAACCGGAAAATCCACACGCTATGAGCGGAGAAAAAGTGCAACTCCCCCCTTTCTCTTGGCAACTTTACCATTCTTGTTACACTGAACAGCAAAGACTTCGATCTGCTAAAGGTTGGATCAATAAAATCAATTTATTAATATTTTGCCAAAAATGATAAAGCAAACAATATAGAAGACAATTTAGTTTGGTTTAACTTATGGTCTAAAATACATGAAACTTCAAAGTGCCAATAGGTAAACTCTTAACTTAGTCTTAAAATGAATCTTATAACCAGAAATTACACAAAATGTACATCGCATATTTAATGCATTTTTTATTCATGAAATTTGATTTGAGAGAAAAAGTTGTATCATTGTCGCTACGCAAATTGTTTGAGATGTAAACATGTTAATAGCTACTTAAGCAGCTATAACTTTTCAAAACGTGCCATTAGTAAGAACTTAACCCTACAAAGTATTTACAATTAGCAACATTGTTTAAAACCCCTGCATTTTGCACTGAGGTGTAAAATCAAAAGTTGAATTTCTCACATTGTATTTATGATGATGGCTGCGGGCCCAATTGAAATGGAAACCTCTGCCACAATCTACATATCGATCTCTCCTAACCAGTATATGCCCCGCTCGAACAGAACGAAATGGGCCTATCGCCCATAGATAGTTTCGTAAACGGGTGGTTTAATTGCATTTATTATGATTGACACTGATAAATCGGCCATCGCTGGCTGTCATTTGAACACTTGCAGCAAATTGAACAATCAACCATCCATCAGGCCAAATTAAAGGCAATGGATGGTCGGGGTCTTACATAAACATCTGCCGATAGTTCGCAACCTGGTCAGTTGCTCCCAACAGGGTTCAATGAGCCCTGCCCGCAGCTCGATCCCAAACCAAACAGGTAACTGCAGGAGTTCGGGTTCAGACCAGGCCAAGACCAGCAAGTGCATCGGAATAACTCCAAAGTTTAAACTCTTTTCTGCATAGCCGCATGGAGGGGGGCTGGAAAAAAGAGGAGCCGGGAGGATTACGCAGCGATGGCAACGATAAGTGGCAACCGAGCACTAAAGTACTGGCTTTGTTGGCCCATCTACGTCACCAGTTAGATTCTCGAAGAGGTACAGAGAACTGTGGGAAAGTGGGAAACAGATAAGGCAGCAAATTAAGATAAAGTCAAGGGCCTATCTGGATCTGGAGCTGTTCTCATTTCTATATAATCTTGGAAATTCACACTATGAGCTTTGCTGTCACAGATCTCAGATTAAAACACGTTATAAATAACTTTATCCAAAACTTTTTGGAAACCAAAACTGTTAAATGATGATCGATTCGTTTTACATTAATTAAACCAAATAAATTTAGATGAAAAGACAAAAAGATATTTATCAGATCAATTTCATATTCATATTTTCAAGTCATTATTAAGTAGATGCACAGACACAAAAGACTTAAATAATGATCGATTGGCTCCTGATTAATGAAAAATAAATACCTTGATCGTTGGTCATACCACGTTGGCCTAAAATCAAGTTAGGAAAACAATATAGTAAATAAAGCTATTATAATTTAAGTTATTATGTATGTTTATGTTTTTAGAGCTTAAATTTTCTTTGTTATACATACATTTGAATTGCATATCTACTTTAATAATATTTGATTTAATTTTTAAAGATTTTCACAATTTAGAAATTTTTAAAATATAAGCTTTGTTTGAATTATTTTTAATTATATATCTGGGAAAGTGATTTTGCTGTTTGTTAATGTGTTGTTGGCACATCTCTAAAACAAAACAAATCAAAAATGCTAATTAAGCACGTGCTACTTCCATTCATATCTAATTATGCATAAATAAATATTCGCTCGATTCATACACATTTCAATGGGTCAAAAACAAAGTATTTCAAACAGAAATCAAAAGCGCAAAATGCGCAATAAATAAAATCGAATGAAAAACAGAGAAAAAGAATGAAGCCAACAGCAGCAAAAACAACAATTTCAAGGCCAAAGTTTATGACGCCCGGGGGCCAGGCCAATAATATAGAAAACATCACTCTCTTATATTTCCTGCTAATTGTTCCCCTTGCAGATTCTGTTATTTCATTACTCACTAATCAAAACCGCAAGTGCCTTACATTTAATTTGAACAAAATTCCCTTTTCCTATATTTATATTTATATTTATATTTATATTTATATTTATATTTATACATGTTTTTTTTGATTTTCAAAAGAAATTACAATTTTGTTAAAATTAATAAGGAATTATAGAAAAATATTTTCATTATGTCGAAAAAAGAAAGCAGAAAAGTCAATTTTAAAAGCCCTTAAAAATGAGTCGAAAAGTATGCAACAATATATTTATATTACAAAATTTACAATTTTATTTTAGATCAAATTTCTTGGTTACCATTTTTTTTTTTCATAGTAAGAATAAATAAATTACTGAAAACAACAACTTCATATGTTTATATTTTGTACATTTAGAACCGCAACCGCAACCTCTCTTTACCACCGAGCTGAAATTTCACTTTCCTTATCAGCGAGGTCGGGCACAGTGATAAGATTTGTGAGTGCAGCCAGTCCATTGTGATTGCAATGGAACCGGAGCGGCTGTACCGCCGGAAAGTGAAATTAAATTCAGTCATTGCTTTTTATAAGCCAACACAAACGCGAATGGCTGAGTCAAAAAAAACAACAAATACTTAGAACGAAATTTGCGAGTATTTGACATTGAAATTTGTTTGGCAAAAAAAATTAAAAAAAGTGAAATGAGATAGGGGAATTTGGACAAACTGTTTTAATATTTGTTTTGCTTATATAAATATATATATGATTTGTATATACAAGCCTCAAATTATATATAGTTATGTATGTTGTAAATAATAAAGTGAATTCAAAGGCTTTAGAAGATATAGGTGTAAATAAGTTAGGCAGACTTCACGTGCGACAGAAAAATTCATATCAGCTTAACCTTGAACTTTATAGGCGCTCTTATCAAATTGCCAAATAATATATGGTGCAATCTAAAATATTTGCAGCTTTGCTAGAATTTTGTCGCATGCTGTTCGTACGACTGCGTTTTAAATGCATGTGTATGTGAGCGGACCTGATAAGCTATGTGTTCTCTGTGGTTTTCCGATTTTTTCCCAGTCTTCATTTGGAACTCAGTGCTATAATTTCAGTATAATCTGACGGTAAACAGTAACTTAAAAAAAAAGTTGATATTTTAATAAAAGTTAGTTTTAAAATGGGATTTTATCTAAATATCTATAAAAAATAAGTCATGTCAAGTGTTATTTAATGCTATTGTTATATACATATTATGTAAAAGTTTATATTGTATATTTTGAAAGTTGAAAAAGTAAAAAATTATGTAAATGTGAAATACCAAAATAAATAAAATCTGATTATAAAGATTTTGTAATTCGTGTCATAGTAAAAGTAAAATAACAATTTTCTAACAAAAACAATAAGGGATTAAAATTGAAGTAATTGAATAATAACATTTAAACAAAATTTAAATTACGTCAAAAGTATTCATCCTTTCGCTAACCTTTTTTTAAACCTTTTTGTATTTGTCTTTTTTAGAACAACACTGCCATATTGCAACAAAGAATACAGAACTGTTATCAAAAACCGATCTACCTCGTTTTCTGGGCCAATAAGCAAAAGTAAATTGAGTTAAATGTGAAAACCCAATTCCCACATAGGAAAATGGAACAGGCAACAACCAAGACCACATAGACGACAGACACTAAACACCGAACCTCTGAGATTAAACAGTTGAGATCGATAGAGAGCCCTCGAAGACAGATCAAATCGCCTTAGTGTTCTGTAAAAACCGTAAAAAGCCAGGATGACGAAGAGCAATGGCGATGTGGAGGCGGCCACGCAGGCCCAATCTCTGGGAGGAAAGCCGAGCAATGGACACGGCCAGTTGAATGGGAATGGCTACCACCAGAACGGAGGAGGACGTCGCGATTCCAGCCAGGCCTTCACACCACTGCTGGCCCAGCACAACAATGGCTCAGCCAACAATGGCGAGGTGACCACCACGCCACCGCCCAGTACAGTGCTGTACGAGAGCACACCCAGCAACAACAACGAGTGGAAGGCTCCGGAGGATTTGGGCCACCTCAAGAACGGCCTGGGCAACCTGCTGAGCAGCAACAACAATGGCACCGGCAACGGACACAGTCTCAGCGAGAAGTATGCCCACGAACAGGCACCCCTCACCGGTGGCTACAAGCTGCCACCCCGCTCCAGTGAGTCCGAGGAATCCGACTTCGATTCCGACCTCAATGGCAGTTCCTCCGCGGAGTCCAGCTCCAGCTGTGGCCTCTTCGGCTGCCGACCCAGGTGGGCCCGTCGATTCGCCTCCACGCACGTCTTCATGGTGGTCTTCCTGCTGGCCTACATCCTGCAGGGCATGTACATGACCTACTTCGTGTCCGTGATCACCACCATCGAGAAGCTGTTCCAGATCAAGTCCAAAACCACGGGCATCCTGCTGAGTGCCAGCGAGATGGGCCAAATATGCACGGCCATGTTGCTAACCTACTTCGCGGGACGAGGCCACCGGCCCAGGTGGATAGCCTGCGGCATGGTCCTGTTCTCCATCGCTGCCTTCTCCTGTGCCCTGCCACACTTCATTTTCGGCGAGCAGCTGATGCACTCCAGTGTGATCCTGCAGCAGCCGCAGGTCACCACTCTTGCCGGGGACTCGTCCTCATCGCTGTGGCTGCCGGAGCAGCGGAATCCCAATCTGTGCATTCTGGGTGGTAACCAAACGCTTTCGGGCAGCGAGTGCAACGAAGAGCGCCAATTGGAGCAGGCCTCTCACTCCAAGATCACCGTCATTGTGTTGTGCATCTTCTTCGGCAGCCTGTTGAGCTCGGGAATTGGCCAAACGGCCGTGGCCACTCTGGGCATCCCGTACATCGATGACAATGTGGGCAGCAAGCAGTCGCCCATGTACATGGCCGTCACCATTGGCATGAGGATCCTGGGTCCCGCATCCGGATTCATTTTCGGCAGCTTCTGCACCCGCTGGTATGTGAACTTCTCGAATCCCGGCTTTGATGCCACCGATCCCCGCTGGATTGGCGCCTGGTGGCTGGGACCCGTGGCCATCGGTAGCCTCATGCTGCTGGCCTCCATTGCCATGTTCTCGTTCCCCAAACAGCTGAGGGGCAAGAAGCCGCCGCCGGGTCAGGCGGCGACTCCAGCAGCTCCAGTTGAGCCCGAGGAAAAGCCAAAGCTAAAAGGTGAGTTTGGGAAAATACTTAGGAAATTTCAAACAGTTAAAATTATCGTACTTGAAATATTTTACTTCAATAAATAATAATATTATTATTATTATATTATAATATTATTATTGCACTGTATAATTTTTATATTTTTAATCCAACAATGGCAATAAAAAAAGATATCATCAACTTTACTTAGCTTGTAGAGATTTATCCTTAACTTTTCCCCTTTGCAGACTTTCCCAAGACGGTGCGTCGCCAGCTGAGCAACGACATTTTGATGTTCCGCACTGCCTCGTGTGTGTTCCACCTGTTGCCCATCGCCGGGCTCTACACGTTCCTGCCCAAGTACTTGGAAACGCAGTTCCGGCTGGCCACCTACGATGCCAACATGATAGCCGCCTTCTGCGGCATCCTGGTCATGGGCATCGGCATCGTCATCTCCGGCCTGTTCATCCTGAAGCGGAAGCCCACTGCCAGGGGCGTGGCCGCGTGGATCGCCTTCACAGCCCTCGTCTACTCAGCGGGCATGATCATCCTGATGTTCATCGGCTGCAGCATGAACGACTTTGCCGGCTACAAGCCAAGCGATGGCAACAGGTGAGTCAACAAAGGGATTTCTAAGGGGTATTGTTATTAGGAAATAGTGGAAAGTAACTGACCACCAAAAAGGTGAAAGGCAAAAAAAGGACTTTCTTAAATGATTTGTTATTTAATTTTAGCAAATTATTAATCTTAGTCAAATAAAATATGGAGACAAAGTCATTTAAAAATAAAATGAATATAGATCATTTATATAGTTGTAACAGTGCGTATGGGTGATAAGTGTTAAATGCAATGCGCAATATAAGGTCTATATGGCTTTAAAGCCGCAATGCATAAAAGAGTAGGTCCTACAACAATTACAACCGCCTTAACTTGCCTTGAAGCAGGTTAATTTGTATCCAAAATGAATTGAAATTAATGTTTTGTTATTCCCCAAAAGTATGCAAACTGAAAGTAAATTGTTATATTGATAATTTATTTATTTCAACCACTAGTCCCGCTCTGATCGAGCCCACGTGCACCGCCGCCCTCAACTGTACCTGTGATAAGGAGAACTTTGCGCCCATCTGCGCCGATGGCAAGATGTACATCTCGGCCTGCCACGCCGGATGCAGCAGCTCCTCGCTGCGGCCCAGCGATAATCGCACCCTCTACTCCGATTGTGCTTGCATTCCAGATGGTAAACTAGACTCCAGATACCGGGGTATCGCAGTATTTTAATCCCCCTCCGACTTGCAGCTCCTGAGGCGGTCAACGGTTACTGTGATAATAACTGCAAGAACTTCATCTACTTTATAGTGATCTTTGCCATTTGCGTATTTATGCATTCCACCTCCGAGGTGGGCAGCATGCTGCTCGTCATGCGCTGTACACATCCCAAAGGTAATAGCCAGGATTAAAGGCCTAAATGGTTAACTAACTAATTTATATTTGTCCAACTCAGATAAGGCAATGGCCATGGGTGTGATTCAGTCGGCCATCGGCTTGTTCGGCAATGTTCCTTGCCCGATCATCTACGGCGCAGTGGTGGACTCCGCCTGCCTCATCTGGAAGTCCGTGTGCGGCAAGCACGGAGCCTGTTCGCTCTACGATGCGGACACCTTCAGGCAATATTTCCTAGGTGAGTCACTGCTGCTAAAAATTTTGATGTAAGAAAAAAACCAGTTCAATTGAGGGGAAAGAAATACCACTGTTATTTGAATAACATACAATGGTTACTTTTGTATAAATAAATTTTTGCAGAACATTGGAAATCAACATTAAATTTATATCATGATATGAAAAGAAACATTTTGTTCTAAATAAATTCACCAAATATTTATCCCTAAATTCCAGTTTTATAAAAAAATTTTACAAAATATATATTAAATATTTAAAAGTATTTTAAAACACAAAAGAATACCAATTTACCATATTTGAGACTGTTAAACGGGGTTTTTTACCACCTAATCTCGTTAACTAACTAAAATGAATGTATGCATTTGTACTTTTTACAACTCCCACCAGGAATCACGGCTGGCATTATGTTCCTAGCATTCCTGATGGACCTGGTGGTGTGGCGCAAGGCGCACCGCATCGACATTGCGCCGGAGGACCCGCCGGAGGGTGGGCCCACGCCCAACGGGAGGTCCTTGGAGACGTCCGAGTCCAAGCAGCCCATAACGCCAGCGCCGGACACGACGGTCTAGGGGGAGCGGGATGGAGACGAGCCTTGCACCTGATGCAAGATTTCCAATAAACGTTTACCTTAATTGTTAATTAGTTATCATTTTGTCTAGTTTGTTAGCCTAGTGCAAGAGTTATGTATTTAGTTAAGTGACATTAAAACGCGCTCGTCCAGCCCCTCCCCCCGCTCCAAATCCCTGCTCCATATTCTACATAAAACCTATGAATTACGTTTTAATTCTGTGTAAATCTCAACGCGAAACGAAGAAATGAAATTCTAGACATTATTCATACTTGAGCGTAATTAAACGACAAATATATGAAGAAATACTGGTCGAAAATTGTGCAAACGCAACAACATTTATAAATCTATATGTGTAACAATGTAACAGCTATATCGCGATTTATGTATATCTGTAATTAATATATTAGACATATACATTTACATGTATGTATGTAATTGCAACCTATCTGTGGTAGTTAAATTTTAGTTAAAATTCAAATTAATTGTCTAAGTTTGTCATACAACAACAGCAGTAACAAAAATATACGAAAAGAAATTATATGGAAAACTATATACAAGTACTAAAAGAAAGGCTATCTTTTAATTATTTCTTTGGGTAAGGATTAAAATGAAGAAAAGTGTTAATTAGTTAAATCTGAATCATGAAGGTTTAAAATTGTTTATTTGTATCCACCATATTTAATGATCATGATTCAATAAGTTCTTTAAAAATCTTCATTTACCTGTAGCGTCTAAAATTCTAAATGAAATTTAATAATTCCCAGCCATTCTGCGATAGAACATCTACCGAGTTAGAAAAAGGCTTTGGTTTTAATCATCAAAACCCCTCAAAAACTGCACTTTTCTACCAAAAATGTGTTTTTTATTAACAATTTCAATAAAAAATTCTTAAATTTACGAAATGCAACATCGCTGCATCTGCCTTTCGCCTAACAAAAACAACAAATTGTGTTATACAAAACGAAAACTTGAAATGTTTGCAAAAACTTCCATGGGCTATTGTCTCTGAAATAACAAAAACAGTGGATGAGTAAGTCGTGCCCAGCGGGCAGATCGCAAGTGGAGATTGTCTGCGTGCGCCCACAGGCGAGTAGAATAATGTAATGGTATCAAAATCAGCTATCCGGCGACCACAGCTTGAATGTGCGGTCGAACGAGGTGGTTGCTATATAATGCGAGTTGGGCGCAATGTCCACCGATATGACCTTGTTGTCGTGACCCTGCAGCGTCTTGAGCGGCTGCCACGTCTTGTTGGACCAGATCTTTGTGGTCGAGTCGTAGGAGCAGGTGACCAGGAAGCTACCGCACTCCTGCTGGTACTTCACGTCCGAAATCAAGTTGGTGTGGGCGGGAATGGTGTAGACGGGCTGGCGTCGCCGCAGGTCCCAGATCTTGCAGGTGTTGTCCTGGGAACCCGTCGCGATGTGGAAGCCATTCGGCGAGAAGTCCACGCCAAACACGGCGCCCAGGTGGCCCTCCAGAAACATGATGCACCGGCCGGTGCGCAGATCCCACACCCGTCCGAAGGCATCCAGTCCGCCGGTGGCCAGAACACTGCCATCCGAATGATAGCTGAGGCAGTGCACCGGCTTGGCGTGTCCCTCCTGATGCAGCACCTCTGTCTTCTGCTCCAGATCCCACAGCCGCCAGCTGGAGTCGTAGCAGGCGGTGGCCAGAAATCGCCCGGACGGATGGAAGGCCACCTTGGAGACGCGGTGCGGCATGTGGCCGGTGATGTCGGCAATGGACTCCTCGTTGTTGAAGCCCCACAGCTTGACGGCGCCATCGTGTCCGCCCGACGCCATGGCCACCACGTTCTCCTCGTCTGCCTTGACACCCGGTCGCAGTGCCACGCCGCCCACATAGCTGGCATGTCCGCGCAGCGTCTGCTTCAGCTCGCAATCGGGCACGCTCCACAGCTTGCAGAGACCCGACCATGAGGCGGTCAGCAGGAGTGTGGAATCCGCACTAAAGGCGGCACTGCTCACGGGCCGCGTGTCGCCCACCTGGGAGCACAGAGGAGCCAGCGACTGCAGTTTCTTCTGCATCTCCACCATGCGGCCGGCTCTCGTGGCACTGGCCACTTCAAGTGCCTCACGGGCGCGCACCAAGCGATCCTTGGCCCGCGGCAGGGAGTAATCCGCCAGCCAGAGCCGGGCAATGCGCAGAGAGTCGGGTCCCTCGTGATACCAGGTGGCCTGATCCTGCTCCCGTTGCTGCTGCTTGCGCTCCTCCTCCTCGTACTGCTTCCTGTTGATGGCGTGCTCGCCCAGACCCGCGAGCAGTTCCTTAAGACGTCTTCGTCGTTCCGCTGGTCCTTCGCCAAAGTAGCAAATGGGCTCGTTTAGCTGGCGCAGATTACTCTTTATTTCCGTGTCGTCGGTGGACACATTTATCTGGCGCGCCCGCTTCTTGCGCTCGAATTCCTCCAGCAGTGCCACCTTGTCCCGCTCCATTTCCGTCTCCAAGTCAAAGTAGTCATCGTCGATTTTGTTGGCCAGTGTGGCGGCTGTGGGTGGTGGTGCTGCCGCCTGTTTGGAGCTGCTCGTCTTTTTCGTGGACTCCTCATAGTCCTCATCTGAATCTATGTCCTCCAGTTGTCCGCCTGTGCTTGTTGTTGTTGTTGCCCCAGACGCTGCCGGCGTTCCCTTTGTTGTTGTTGTTGATGCCTCAGACGACGCGGCATTTCGCCGCTTGCGCTCCGATTCCTCGAGCGATCCATAGTGGAGCGTACGCTGCCGCTTGATGTACTGTATATCGTCGTCATCGGACATTATGGGCGCCAAAAAACGAGCGGTAAAGAATTAATTTTAAAACAAAATTTCGCCGAAAAAACGAAGGAAACAACAAAAAAATATCGCTCAATGAAAACGTTTTGTTGCCTAGTGTTGGACAATGCGGAGGGGGTTGGATTGCCCATCGATAATTAGCATAAGATGCGTCGCGAACATCGATATTTTTAGAACAGCTATTGTACACATATATATTATAATTATTTAATTTAGTTATTTATTTTAATTGTTCTAATACATTTTTTCCTTTTCTGTGTTACTTCAATAAAAAAATTGTTATCAGACTTTTTTTTCTGTTTCAAAAATTAAAATTTTCATAATTTTTAAGTAAATCCAAAAATAAGTTATAGTAATGAATTAGAAATTATAAGGCAATACTTTCAACTAGATGAACATAGTTCAAACATTTTTGAGAGTGTTAAACATGACTGAAAAAAAAATAAACTTGGCCCTTTTCTGCAAAGCACTTTATTAGAAGCAGTTGGTAAATCAAAACAAAATGTATGACTGCACTGAATTTCAGAGGATTGATTTCATCAAAATAGCTGTAAAAATATTTGCATTTCAACAACATTAACATAGAATTTTTTTGTTTAACATTAACATTAACAACGTTACCTCCGTTTTTTTAAATATGATGAATTTATAAAATCGTGACTACTGGTAACTGTGACTCCGCAGCGATATATCGTAAGCTAGCGTTTTGCAGCACTGTTTTGCAGCACTGTTTTGCAGCACTACCCCGTTTTAGTACACGCACACACACACACAAAACTTTTCCTAGGTGGTAAAAAACGGAGTGAAAATCGAGGATTTCCACACGCTAGCAGTCACATTGCCTGCGAAATAGCTGTCACTGCCCCTGTCGCAGCAATTTTCACGCGCTCCCGGCATTAGGAAATGAGCGCGCCGAGCAACAAAATGTCGGCCACCGATCAGATGCGAGCAATGCTGGACCAGCTTATGGGTACGACGCGGAACGGCGACGAGCGCCAGCTGAAATTCTCGGACACCAGGGTCTGCAAGTCCTTCCTGCTCGACTGCTGTCCGCACGACATCCTGGCGTCCACGCGCATGGATCTCGGTGAGTGTCCCAAAGTGCATGACCTGGCTTTCCGCGCAGATTACGAGAGTGCTGCGAAGACGCGCGACTACTACTACGACATCGAGGCCATGGAGCACCTGCAGGCCTTCATCGCGGACTGCGACCGGCGCACGGACTCGGCCAAACAGCGCCTGAAGGAAACGCAGGAGGAGCTGACCGCCGAGGTGGCCGAAAAGGCCAACGCCGTCCACGGTCTGGCCGAGGAGATCGGCAAGAAGCTGGCCAAGGCCGAGGCACTGGGCGAAGCCGGCGAAGTCGAGGAGAGCATGGAGCTGATGAAGGAGATCGAGGAGCTGCGCGCCAAGAAGATCAAGGCCGAGCACGAGTACCGGACCTCCATGCCCGCCTCCACATATCAGCAGCAGAAGCTGCGCGTCTGTGAGGTCTGCTCCGCCTATCTGGGCATCCACGACAACGACATCCGGCTGGCGGACCACTTTGGTGGTAAGTTGCACCTTGGCTTCCTCACCATCCGCGAGAAGCTGATCGAGCTGGAGAAGACGGCTGCGCCGCGCAAGGCGGAGCTCAAGCGGACGGGTAAGATGACCGACCGAGACGACGAAGGGCGTGGGCGCAATCGCTACTTTGTAGGTGGCCGCGAACTGGACCGCCGCTCCCGCGTACATCGTTCCCGGTCCAGGGAACGCCAGCGGAACCGGGATGCGGAGCGCGAGCGACCCAACAACGGCCGCGGACCGGACGAGAAGGGTGGCGAGCGTGCCAAGGAGACGCCGGAGGGCGGCGAACGATCCGAAAGGGCTGCAGAACGTGGCGGACGAGGACGAGATGACCGGGACAACCATGGCAGGGATCATCGCGATCGTGAGCGTGATAACAGGCGGGATCGGGAGCGCCATGGACGCAACGACAGAGGACGCTTTGGCGACAGAGGCGGCGGCGGCGGCGGAGGAGGCGGTGGCCATCACCGGGATGACAGACGCCGCTCAAGATCCAGGGAACGCTCGCCACGCGAACGCCGCAACTTCAACCACTTTAGAGATGGCGGCGGTGGTGGTGGTGGTGGTGGTGGCGGCGGGGGCAACGGCCAGCGAAGACGCTCCTACTCCCGCGAACGGTACTCCCGCCGCTAGGAATCCCACCCAGCGCACGTACGTAACATTAATCACTTCAACTACAACTACAATGCCACCACAAATTGAACTACTGAAAACAACAACAGCAACTGAATATTCATAGCCTAATCAATAAAGCGACCTAAGCCACACTTTTGACGCTCTAATGTGCAGAGATTACCTTTGTAAATTTTTGATGATTTCTATTTTTGATCTTGCGTTCCAACTTCTGATGAACCAATAAAGCAAACATGTCGTTGCAACCCCCCATGTTAAAAGAACCCAGCCTTACCGTAAAACCCAAACCCAAAAGAAAAACTGTAAGAGATACGAAATACTCGATATGATACGATTGAAATTCGATAGTCCCCGTCCAGTCCAGAGTATTTGGCAAGTAGAGAAACCCAAACCGAAACCAAAAATAGTGAACCCAACGAACCCGCAGTGTTGCCAATTGTAGTTCAGTTCAGTAACTCGATTAGGGCACGATTAGCTAAAGAAATCTAAATTATTGAGACGCAGAGCAGGCGATAACTTTAATATTTGAAATTTTGTGTGTTGTATAGCTAGCTACATGTTGGTAACACTGACTGATACCCG